TTAAAATTATTTTATATAAATAAATACTTATCTTGCTTAAAATATTTAAGTTTTTAATTAATAATTTTTAATAAAGTATATTTAAAGTTTGTTATGGGCTTGCCTTGGGTTGTTTACCGTAAGGTACCTAAATAAGGTTTATATTTAAAGTATAAAGGAAAAGGTTTGCTCCCCATTTATACTCATGCCAAAGCCTATTCTTATAGGGCTAAAGCTTATTAATTAATCATAATGGGTAAAGCTTAAATTATAATATATCCTTCTTCTTTAAGTCCCTATGGCAAGCCTTAAAGGGCAGCTATATAGCAAAAAATAAAGGATACTATGGTTTAATTGCAAATTAAATATTGCTCTTTGCCTAGCCATTTAATTACACCTTAGCATCTTTTAATCCTAACTACATTAAAGGCCTAGCTTATTATCCATAATTAATACGCCCCAGCCCTTATAATTTAATATACTAGCTAAAATAAGCTAATGAAAGATAATTATTTAAGTGTAAGTTAGCGGCTAAATTAATGGCATTTTTATGATTTTTTAATATAAGCCTTTTATATAAGCTTCCTTACTTAAAATCTTAAAACCGCGGATTTATTATATAATTTACAATTAATTAGCGCTTAATTACAAGCAATTTACTTTATTAGCAGGAATTTTCTAAATTTTAAGCATTTTCATAATGCTAAATTAGCTAGCATATAGCTAGCTCATTTTAAGCCTAGGCCGGCATCAAGCTAGCAATGCTTCCAAGCCTTACCCTATAAAAAAAATTTTATACCCCCTTAAATAAACTCCTTCCTTTTACTAGCCTTAATTAATAAAAGCTATACCTTTATTTTCTTATAGCAATTAAGGTAATTGCGCTTATAATAGCTGAGTTGGCTATATATAAAATACTTAACTTTGCTTATTAAAACTGCTATAATATTAATATTCATTGCTTTACCGTTTTAAGGTTAAGTATTATTTTCCCTTGCTATAGTGCTAAAAACGCCCTTATATTGCCGTAAGGCAAAGCAAAAGGCCTTAAATATATTTAATTACTCTTTATAATTAAGCTAAGCTTTTGCTATAAAGGTTAAGCTATTAGCTATTAATAGTATTTTATATTTATTTAGCCAACTTTAAGTCTCTGCTATATAAGCTAATTAATTAAATTAAGCAAGAAATTTTGCTATTCCTTTCTTACGGCGTTGCCATAGCGTGATTAAGCTAAGCCCGGCATGCCTTTATTTAAAAGGGTCCTTAAGCATAAAGCGAACCTTTTTTAAAAAGCTTTCCGGCTGCCCCTTAAATATCTTTATAAAATTAATATAGGGTAAAAATTAATTGCGGAAAGTTCCTAGCTAATTAAATATATAAAAGAATTAAGCCCCTTTAACGCTAATTGCCTCTCCATTTACTGTAAACTTAGCCCTTATTTTTACTAGCTAAGTTATTAGGTATTCTTAAGATGAAAGTTCCTTAGGATGGGGAAGGGCTTGGCGGGCTATTATTATTCTTTTTAAGTCTTGCTATATTAGGTTTTGTATAGTTGCATTATAAGTTTATAATGCAAGAGGATTTTAAATATATATTATGGGCTTGCCTTAGGTTATTTGCCGTAAGGTGCCTGAATGAGGTTTATATTTAAAGTGCAAAGGAAAAGGTTTGCTCCCTATTTATATCCGCGCCAAAGCCTATTCTTATAGAGCCAAAGCCCACTGACTAATCACAATGGGCAAAGCCTAAACTGTAACAAAGTTTAGCTAAAAAATATTCCTTATTAACTTATAAGTAATCCCTTTTCTTGCTAATTACTTTTTTAAATACAATAAAAACGTTTTATAAAAGAATTAAGTTATAATAAAAAAAATATTATTTATATTATTAAATTCTTAATTATATTTTATAATCTTTTCTTTTTATATTTTTAAATTATTATAAGGATTATTATAAATAATATCTTTAATAATTATAATTAAGTTTATATAATAAGTTTAATTATTAAATTTATAAAAGGTAAAAAGCTTTTTCTTTTAATTTTTTTAAATAAATTATTTAATAATAATGCTTTTAATTACTTTTATTAAGTTTAAAGTAATATAATGTTGCTTAAGTAATTTTAAAATTTAATTATTTAAGTAAAAGAATTAATAAATAATAATCTTAAAGCTATTTAAAACCTTAATAATATTAATTTTATTAAACTTTAAAGTATTTAAATTATAAATTATAAATAAAGCTACTTATAGCAAAATTATTATATTAATAAAAAATAAGACTTTTAAAATATTAATTTAATTCCTTAATTTATTATTAATAATAAATTATAGGGTTTAATTAAAGCAAAATTAATACTTTAATTAATAATAAATAAAATTAAGTTTTTCTTTTTCCTTAATAAGTTTCTTAAAATTCCTTTTTTAGCTTTAAATAAAAAAGAATAAATAGTTTTTAGGGTTTAAAAATATTTTTAAAATAAAAGTAAATTTAAAAAAGCTTTAAGCCTAAAAATATAATATATATGCTATAATAATTTTATTAAGATAATAAAAAAATAAAGAAACTTAAAAGCAATAATATCTTTAATTAAAGTAATTACTTTTAAGGAATTTATTTTTAATATTATTATAAAATACTTAAATTAAAACTTAAAAAATAAAGGTATTAATAAATATAATAAATAAAATAAATTTAATAAAAGAATATTTTATTAAGAAATAAATATTATAAAACTATAATAAAGAAAGCTTTTTTAAATTTATATTTAATACCTTACTTATTAATATTATATTAAATTCTTAGTAATTTAAATTTAAATTTAATTAAAGCTTAAATAAAGTTATACTTTAAGTTTAAGCCTTTTATATAATTTAATTAATATAAAAATATATAATATAATGCTACTTATTAAATTTATAAGTAAATAAGGTAAGTACCTTAATTTTATATTATAGCCCTTTTTACTTTAAGTTTAAAGTTATAATAATAATAATAAATATTAATTAAGAATTTAAAATACCTTTAATTAATATTAAGTAATATCCATAAAATTTAAATTTATTATTTTAGTTTTAAGTTTATATTATTGCTATATTTTAAGTATAATCTTTAGCAAGAAACTTAAAATAAGTTTAAAGATTAATAATATATAAATATAAAATTAAGGTAGTATTTTATTTAAACCTTAAAAGTATAAAAGGTATTTTAAGATTGGAAAATAATCCTAAAATACTTATAATATTATTATAAGTTTAATTATATTTAATTCTTTTTTATAATAAAATAAAAATAAATATAAGCTTTAATTAAAGCTTTAAGGTAAAATATAAAATAATTTAATAATATTTAATATAAAAATAAAAAAAAAGATAAAATTAATAAATAATTAGCTTATAATTAATTTCTTATTCTTTTTATTATTAATTAAAAATATATAAGATTAAAATTAAACCTAAGTTAAATTATTAATAAAAATAAGCTACTTAAATAATAGGAATAAGTTTTATTAAACCCTTTTAAAAATAACTTAAGAAGGAGCTTTAATATGATAAAGAGGGAAAATAAAAATAAAAAAGAGTTAAAGAAAGGGAAAAAATAAATATTTTAAAAATTCTTAAAAATAAGAAAAGCTTAATTAAAGCACTAAATATATAAGAAAAAAGAAAAGTTAATTCCTTAAAAGAATATTTAAAATAAGCGTAAAAGCTAGCTTTTTATAGCCAGCCGGAATTTAACGCGGTACTATTTCTTACGTAATTCCCTGCACCCGCTAACAATATTATAATATAATATTAATCCTTAATATAAAGGGTAAAAAAAGCTTTTTCTTAAAAAAAAATTTTTAACTTAATTATTTGCCACCATGGCGCAGCTAGTAGATGCGCTGGGTGGCTTTCGCGTAATGGCAAACGCAAAGGGCGCGGGTTTGATTCCCGCCAATGCCTCTTTTCTCCTGCCTGCGAAGGGCTTCGCGCCGCCTCTAAGCCCAAAGTTGGATTAATCAGCAACGGCCATACTTATTGGTTCAACGGGGGGCTTCCCCCCGCAAATAACTAAGCCTAGGGAAGCTGCGCAGCGTTTCAGCTCCTTCATTAGGTTTTTCTCAGGTCATAGCTTTCCCAATTTTTCCCTAGTAAGCAAATAGATATAGGTACTACCGGCTGCGCAGAATTACAAGGTAACTTAAGGTACCAGGGCCTGCCCTCCCACGCAGCGAGAACAGCACCCAGCACCTTATAGACACGCTTCGGGGCACACTTTAAAGACTTAAACCTCCAAACGTTGGTCACGTCAATAGTAGGACTTAGTAAACCACTCTTTAAAGGCTTAGTAGTTCATTAACTTAATTATTTACTTGTTCTTTTTAACTATATTATTTATTATAAAAGAATTAATAAAATTATAAAAATAATTTAAAATAAAATTAAATATAAAATTAATAAAATTTAAATTAAAGCTTTTAATATAAATTTATAATATAATAAATTAATATAAAGTTAATATTAATATAAAGTTAATATTAATATAATTTAAAGCCTTAATATAATTTCCTTTTAATAATATTATAACAACCTTTTATTAGCATTTTATTAAAATTATGAAATTTTAATTAAATATCAAAATATAAGTGCATTGCATAACCCAGTCAGAAACCCCCCTCCCCCCTGGTAGGTAGGCGGTAGCCCACGTCTGCACTACAGACGACAACAGCCCTCGGCTACCACCACAAAATTGTTTTCTATGTGTGGTCCAAAAAGGTCTACCCCCTTTCATTTTGTATTCGCCTAATTGAAACAGAGCGCCAGTCGTTTACAAGGCGTTTGATCTCATTCTCCGAAAAGGACGGTCTTGCCACTCATCATTTCTCTCCTTTTATTCCGATGGTTGTATATTCCTGTTACTAATAGTATCCAATGTCAGCGTGTAGGCCTACTAAGACTCTAACTTTTCAATATTCTTCCCACCTCTTCAAAGCTGCGCTCAGCTCCTTCTTCTAACAAATAACCGTCTCATTTCTATTCCAGCTCCCTCGGTCTAGGTGGAGCCGGGTCTAGTTCTATCGGCCTAGGAGGTGTCGTCTCCAACTCTGTCGGTCTGGAAGGCGCCAGCTCTAACTCATGCGTTTGGTAATTCGTATGATGATAGCCGTGAGGAGGCGGCTGCGCCGCCGTGATTCTTTCATCCTCTGCCGGTTTAGCATGCAACCTTGCGCCCGACCTACGGCCCCTCGCGACCCCACGGCGATATAGCAGCCAGCCACCGCAGGCGAGCAGGAGCCCGGCGACTCCCGCCCCGGCGCCGATCCCTGCCGCCGCTCCAGTCGAGAGGCCGCCGCTCGAGGACGCCGCCGATGTCGTCGAGCTGGTGGCAGGGTCGCTGGCCGCCTGTTCTGTGCTAGCAGCAGAGTTGGTGCCACTGGTGTCGGTTGTAGATGTCTGCGCGGTGCTGGTGGAACCCTGTCGAAAGGTCTTAGAACCATGCCGATTTCACGACCTTATACAAAAGGAAGAGGGGAGGAGAAGGGTAGCGGATTGAGTCCATCTGGATAGACCAAACCTACTGTTGAGGTACCGGTAATCAAAACGGGCAATGCAAAGAGTTCCTGCCCGGGGGCACGAATGTCCGAGGCCACAATCGGTCCGGAGGTCGTGACCACCAGCGGTGACGGCGTGTCTACGTCCCGCACCTTTATCGTCGCGGTGTACGTCTCGACGCTTTGCAGTCCCGGTGCAAATTTGGTGAAGGAAGAGGTTACCCATTCTCTGCTGGTCGCACCAGGGCGCCTCGACCGACAGAACAAGGTTGCAACGTCTAGTAGCATAGGGTCCTGGCAGCTGAACGGGTATGCACTAACCAGAGACTGCAGTTAGTTTCGTCTCAATTATTAGGTAGATCTGCCATGGAATCGGTCCAATGGTGTCGTTAGTGACATCCGCCGGTCAGACTCACGTCGGACAGCAGACGGTGAACGAGCTCACGCCCGTGGAAGTCGCACAAGCTCGGGAAAATCCATCCGGGCATGAATCAGTGGCATATACGACGCCTGATGTCGGTTGGTAACTCGGGGGGTAGCAGCTGCTCGTCACAGTTGGACCGCCAAACATGTCAGCGTAGAACCCTTCTGAAACTGCCCACCCCCAGAGGTCCCCGGACGGCAAACATCCAGAACTCTGTGTCCATCCCGCTGGAACAGTGAGGGACATGGCGGCTGCTGCTGGCGCCTTTGGGAAGAAACAGGAGACTTGATTGCAATTGTGTAGTAACACAATTCACACGGGGAAAATGTCAGGAAGACACCATCTGAGTGAGGTGAGAAGGAATGTCAGATTTCTATCCATTTAGGACCATCTCAATCTGGCCCCCATCATCTCACCCATGGTTGGGCGGATTCCACAGGGGTTGCAGGAGAATGTTTCCTCATTGGTAAGGGAAAGCTTGGCAAGCTTCAATCCCTTCAGCTGCCTAACTGAGTTGGTATGTAAGAAACGATGCATGGGCGAGTCTCGAAGCACCCCTGGCTAATGTTAGTAAACAATGACGTTGTAATCAGAACCATGGATTCCTTATTGTTTCTGGTGGGTCTAACGTAAAGAAGCACTACGGAACATGAGAGCCTTCACTCATACGGCAAGCAACGATAAAACTTTTGCAATTGTCTACCAAACGCCTCATGTGAGACCTTTCTCATAGCTTTGTAAATTTATAACCGGCCTTGTTCTGCAATGTTATATTACTGTGCCTGGAGAAAAGTTCTTTTATTTGAGGACGTAATAAGGAGCGATCAAGAAGCATGAGGTCATGTACTAGGAGCTTGGACGTACTACGTAGACATCGGTTTATCTGTATATGTATGTTGACAGAGCTGGGGTAATACCAACTGACAATTTGGATAATTATTCCGTATTGTTACATTGGCTTCCGCGAGCAGAACTGCGGAAGCGGGAATCATTGCTGGGTGTCGTTGGAGAAGGAGCGGGGATGCCGGGCCTAAATGCATCATTACCCCGGACACCGAATGAGAGAAAATATATAAGCACTTCTCACTAACGTCATGTCTTGTTTAACTACTGAGGTACCTAGAAATTGAGGTACTTGGCTATCGCTCGAATTTAAAGTCTACAAAAATGCGGCTTAGGGGTTCCACTATCCTGGGCACTGCATGTCTATTTCTTGTTCGAAGTTCTGCTGCATCTTGCACAACTGATGATGACTGCAGCCTGAACGGTGTTTGCTCCTTGACGACGGGATCATGTGTTTGTGATCCAGGGTGGAAATCAGAGGACTGTGGACAACTCGATCTAATGCCCGCAACGAGATGGACGGGATATAATTACACCAACGTCACACTTCCCGATTACTACAGCACCAAAGGAGGCAACTCTTCATGGGGTGGCCAGATTATCCAAGACAGGCAGGAGAATGGGCTTTTCCATCTCATCATCTCACAATTCGCACATGGATGTGGCCTGTCTGGCTGGAGACCCTTCAGTACTGTCATCAGAGCAGAGTCTAGGACCGGGCCGCTCGGTCCCTATCACTACGCCCAGGAACTACTTGGGCCCTTCCGTCACAATCCGACGACCATCTGGAGTCCTGCAGACAATCAATACCTTCTCTACACGATCGGAATAGAGACAGAGACACCGACCACTTGCAAATCATACAAGTGGGCCAACAACATTTCAGTCTCAAGCGCCCCCGATGTTCGTGGGCCCTGGTCTTCTCCGCAGTTGCTGATCAACGGGACCAACCCAACACTCTGGCCGCTCTGGAGTCCAGAGGACCCAACATCTGAGATGATACTCGGCGCCGAGGACAACAAGATCTTCGCGGCCGACACCTTCTCCGGCCAGTACGACCTCATCAAGACCATGCCATGGAACACGTCCGACTACAGCGACCACTGGACCGAGGACCCGTTCCTGTGGCGGGACAAGCGCGGGAACTGGCATATCCTGTGCCACTGGATGATCGACACTGCCGAGCGAGGCGAGAAGTTCCCTCGGGTGGGCGGGCACTTGTTCTCTCGTGATCTGACGGGCGACTGGACTTTCAAGCTGCAGGCGGCGTACAACACGACCGTCCATTTCACTGATGGTGGGAGGACGGACTATTATCGCAGGGAGCGCCCCAAGCTGTTTTTCAGTGATGACGGAGAGCTCACTCCGCTTTTCCTAACCAACGGCGTGCAGGAGCTCAATAGTTCGGGCAGTTATACGTTGATACAACCGATCGGCAAGGGCGCGGAGACATTTTCGAGGAAATTAGGATTTTGACACGCTTTGGGACAGCAGAGAAGAGTGACCCGGAAAGTCCGGGCGTCTGGAGATGTCATGTCACTGCTTGCAGACGACGAATCCGGAACGGATTTTGCAAAGAAATGATTTGATTTTGGGTATATGAAGCGCCTCTAAACCTTTTCCCATCTATCCGTTGAACCCCACGCCTCGCCGCTCAGAGCCAAGGCCAGCCATTCATTTTCCAGTTATGTGTCTTCTTTGTAGCCGAAAATGTGCCACTCATGTCGATTTGAAGACGGCCACAAGGCAACTTTAGAAGGCAATCTAGTGCATCTTGCCGCTGCAGTTCGAGTCCTCGCCGCCCGCGCCCGCCGCCGTGCAGGCCTCGCGGAACTTGCAGTTGCTGAGCCCGTTCTCCTCGAAGCGCAGGAAGCCGGACTGCGCCTCGCCGGTGAAGTGGCACTCCTGGAACCCGCCCGTGCCGACGAGCTCCTTGTGCGGCTCGCTCTGCTCCATGCACGCCGTCATCGTCGCGTCGTTGTCGGGGGTGCCGTCGGCGTGGGTGCAGTGGCAGAGCTGGTAGAGGGCGCATGCCTGGGTGCTGGCGGCGAAGAGGAGGGCGGAGACGATGGAGAGCTTCATGGTTGTTGTTTTGGTTTGCTTTTTTGGAAAAGAGTGTGGTGTTGGAGTCTGTTGGTTCTGGTCTCCAAGGATGATATGATGAGTGTTGATGGAAATGAGTGTCGATTGGATGGTGCGGCTTGGGAAGGCTTGCAATTGATCTGGTGCTGGACATACCAAGCATTTTATATTGGTGAGTCTGTATCGTCACCCAACTGATGCTTGAGTTGGTTGTGCACCGACTTTCGTAGCTCGGTCGGTGGGTCACCTGCGGAGGAAGAGAGTTCGGATGAAAATAGATTCGCTCACCCCTAATATTACATGCGATGTATTTGCTTCCGGGGATGTCACTTGTTTGCTTGCCGATCCTTTTTTTATTGAGACAAGCACTTCTCCTAAACTGACTTGCTGACGACCTGTCTCGTCACATGCGGAAAACGGAATTTCTAACGTGACTCGACCAAAGTTTCCGCAGCCAAGGTCCGCCCACCCAGCTCTTTCAGTGAGCCCACCCTGTACATTTTTCTTATTATTACACTAATGAAATTAAGTACTTTCTTAATAAGCAACCACTACACTCTCACCGACTGGTCGGCAAGAAAGCAAAAAGAACAGAGATAGAATGTAAGCAATTGACTTAGACTTGCCTGCTGCACATCTGCACATCCGCACATCGTTTTCCTATCATGGGCAGTGATCAGAGTGCTTCATCATGACTTTTAATAGATATCTCATCTGGCATAGACCATGCAAAAAGAAATGTGGGCCATTTGAATAAGTGAACTGGCACCACCACAAGGCTGAACAGGATGCCAAGACGTAGATCTTTCTGTTCACTCACCCTAACAGCCACTCGTAGGGAACGCATCGGTCGGCTGCCTCGGTGGAGTTGACTCATGCAACTTGGAGAAAACTGCTCGTCCTAGATTTGAAGGATAGGTTGTTGGGGAAGCAGTTCTGTAAGGCGCAGGTGAATGACTCGACGCTTAAGATCGAGATTCAATCGACTTAGACGGCTTAGACGGCTTGGACATGATGATCTCTTCTCTGAAGACTGGCCCACAGGAAGGAGTCAGTCACCCGCGAGAAATATCTGATGATATGGCGGTGCAGCAAAAGTACAGAACTGCAATTTAACCTTGTGTGTGTGATATATTGATGCTTGGTGGAGGCGACGCGTGTTGCTCGGTCTGTATCCCTAACACCATGCAGCAGGATGCTGTCTGTCGGATTCAGTCTCACAACCAACAATCATTTCTTTTCGACGGGTAGTGAAGCGTAGTTATGTGGGAAGGATTTTTTCGTAGTATCTTGGAAGTTCCAGTGTGGCAGAACAGCCGTAGCTGGTTCACAAGTGACGCATGCTTCATCTCAGATATTCATGCAGGTTCGCAACAACGTCGGTGCATTAAATAATATCTCGAACATTTTTACCACAGAATCGATGAATGGGATGGGATCAAATCTGTAATCTGCAAAATCATCGATGCAAGTGCCGTTTGCTTTACGCTTGTAGTGCTTAACGCTAGGCAGTCAGCTCGGTAGATTATTCAAAGATAGACAGTGATATCAGCTCTTCAGATATGGGTCGCGTCTCCTCCCGAACCCCTAGCCAAAGCATGACACCTGAGCGTGAGTCACGGTTCGTATCGAATATGGAGGCCAGTCACTTATATGCAAATGTTCACAGGCCTGTGAACGCGGGTTGGTCGCCATTTGTACAGACAGACGATGGCAGAGCAGATTTTGGGGAGGAAGCAAAGTCTTCAGACTTCATGAAGTATGACTCCTTCCAGAAATCTTTTCATAAGTTATAGTGACCTTTCTCTATCCTTCAGTGTAGGACTGGGAGTCAAGTTGTAAGGTTTTCCCCACCCTACCGAACTACAGCATCACACATGATGCGGAATTTTAGCAGAGACCTCGTCACCGAGGCCATTCTGGCGACTCCTCGCTCAGTGCTTCTTCTTGGCCGCCTTGCTCTCCTCCATGCGCTTCAAGATCTCAGCCTCCTCGTCCTCGATGGCCTTGTCAATTTTCGCGCCGCGCGAGGGCTCGTTGCCGTGCATCTTGGCAGGCAGGGTGGGGTCGTGCGCGCCGGCGATCTGCTCCTCCGTTTTCTTCTTGCCGCTGCCGTCCTCCGGGTCGTTCTGGTCCTTGGCGGCTGCGAGGCGGTTGGCTATGCTGCGCTCGTCCTCTATGTGCGGGGTATCTCTGGTCAGCTTGACTCGTATTCACCCTGTGCAAACAGATCTATTCAACTGTTTGTGGCGTGGAGTGAAGACGGGACTGCTCACTGGAGTCGTTGTCCTGGTGTGAGTTCTCCTTGCCCTCCTCGTAAGGCACGGGCTGGTCCTCTTGCTTCTGCTCGTCTGCGTTTCCTGACATTTTGATGTTTGATTTGAAGGAGTATGAGAGGTTTTGGAAATTGGCTCAGGTCGTGAGTTAGGGGTCGTAAGTTGACCTTGTTGGGGCTGGGGATGGATTTATATAGCCGGGGTCAAGGGCGACGTTATTTGCTCTCCAGATCCTCCCACGCGAGCTGTTTGCTTCATGATGTCATGCCCCGACGACAGTGCCATTGGGCGTCATCGCAAGGGACCCGCGTGAGACAGCTCCTGCAGTGTAACCCGCTAGGAAGATGTCTAGACCAGCTAGCGCCCGCAAGGTCGACCTTCATCCCGTCTTAGCGAAAGCCGCTAGGCAGCTTAGAGGCAGAGCCGGGCGAGGCCAGGGCGAGTGATCTGCAGTCAGGGGTAGACGTTCACCGAAGGAAGTCTCACTGTTGTGAGGCTTACGACGTGATCTCTGAATACAAGCAAACAGTTGCTTATTCTATGTGGACATCGAACCCGCTTTAGGAAACGGATGTTTATCTCGGGTTGCATGACGAACGAAATGCCCAACAGGTATGCGAGCGACCATCACTCGTGTACAAAGCGCAACCATGGTAGAAGGCATTGTGTTCTTGCAGACATACCTAGGTACGTGTCAACTTCTGTATGATGACTTCTTTGTACATCCCGTTCGTGGCTACGCTGAGCGCCGTCCCGGACATCACCACAGGGGCCCATCCATGTATCATAGAAACGGAAGCTAAATAGAGCATCTCACGGCCACTCTCCTTGAGTGGTTATTCATTCATACCTCAATTATGACCCGACAGCCAGACCGGCAAAGCCGACGGAAACAAGATCTAGCGTCGACAAAGTGTAGGAGGGAGTGGATGACATCGAATGTCTACTAAACCTTAATATGACCAGTCTTCGGCCAGTTTCCCCATTGCTGAAGTGATGGACAATGGCCCCCAATGATAGTTGTGTTGTCCAAGACTGGTGCCCAAGACAGATTCATTGACAACAGAACGTCATTTACTACCGTCATTCACTACGATGCGATTATGACTCAAGTTCAGCATGTCTGTGCGTATATCCACCGGGGCTGGGATGCAACGGCATGCTCGTATTTAGCAACACCCAAGAACCAACGTGTATCAGTGACTCGGCGGGGCTGACAGTCAACAAGGGCCGCCGCATGGGTCCGATAAGTGACCAACGGACCAGGAGAAGGCGCGAAACAAAATCCCCCGGTAGTCGAGACTTGCTGACGGCGTGCATGATAAAATCATCAAGTACGGCTCGTGGCTACCTTTCCTCCTTCCCTGTGGCATCAGGCGTCGCTACATCTTCTCCTTGATGTCTCTTGAAGTCGCCAGGATGTCGCCACCGTCTGGTCAAGAGCCATCAGAACGAGATGCTAAGTTCTGCCTGACAATATCGCCGACAGGTGTACAGGAAAGCACAAGTACAGGAGACCAAGTCGGACTGAAAGTAGTGGATCGAATCGCCATTAATGAACCGAAGTCTGGTTCCTCACCACCAGCGTGTCCTGCCTCTATCTCATACAGCGTCTTCACAAAAGGGCAAAAACGCTACCTCACCTACCTCCTGGGCTTCCTGACCCTCGCCTTGTCCCTGACGGCCAACATGTGCCTGCCCCTGATCCTGCTACTAGCCAAGCAGTACCACACCTCGGCCCAGGCGATCAATCTGACCATCGCGGTCTACATCATATTCCAGGGCATCTCCGCCTCCTTCTGGAGCCCCTTGTCCCACGTCTTCGGCCGCCGCCCGGTATTCGTCCTCACCTTCGGCCTGTACACGGCCGCCAGCCTGGGGCTTGCCCTCTCCCAGGGCAGCTACACGGCGCTGGTCCTCCTGCGTGCGATGCAGAGTATGGGCGGCTCCGCGGTCCTGAGTATCGCGTACGGCGTCGTGGCTGACCTTGTCACCTCGGCCGAGAAGGGGAGCATGCTGGGACCAATGCTGGCAAGCGGGAACCTAGGCCCGTGTATTGGGCCCATCGTCGGCGGTGGCATTGTGGTGACTGGCCACGCGGCGTGGTATTTCTGGGCGTTGGTGATATTCGGCGGGATCGCGCTCTCTCTAATTCTCTAGATGTTGCCTGAGACGAGGAGGACTATTGTTGGCAATGGATCTGTGCCAGCTTTGGGCATATGGCGGACGTGGTGGAGTCTTGTGGTTGACTGGAGGGAGATCAGGAGGCTGAGAGAAGAAGGAGGCTGAGAGAAGAAGAAGACTCCGAGAGGGGAACCAAGATTCCAATAAGCGCTGAGGACAACTTCGACGACACAAATCCAGGGGATATGAACAGCGCCAATGACGGAGAGAAGAGTGCAAGCGGTGTCCTGACCGAGGGTCCCAGCAAAAGTGTCACTGGCAAAGGGAAACTGGTGTTTCCAAATCCATTCATATCACTCTGACTCATCTTCTACTAGGACACATTCCTGGGTCTCTGGCTCGTCGCAAGCCCATACGCAGTCTGGTACCTCATCCAGGCGTCGATCACCGTCATACTCTTGCATGGGGGTTTGTGCATGGTTGATGTCGTTAGCTCGAGGCGTTGGGGCAAGCATTGGAGAAATAAAAGGAGCAAGCCCCTATGAATGATCTGATATACACAAAACCCTTCACTCGGCACCACAACTTGTGACTCAAAAGGAACCAGCCCCGAGACTGCCTTGACTCACAACTCGGGTTTCATTTGTGGCATATAAATACGTCGTCCCTTTAAGTGTGTTTGAATTTCCTATGTTGATCAGTCCCCGGAACCTGCCACCTAGTTCATCGTCAGCCACAAGTCTATGTAAAACAAACAAAGAGCCATGAACATTTGTAGTTCTCTAGAATTCAGAGTCACCGAAGAATGTCAATGGTTTCTTCCATCACTTGATATCTTCCTATGTTACCATTGTTGTATATAGTTAGTACGGAGATGCCAAGAGCAGTTCGCAGATTAGTAGTAAAACCTCATGCTCCGGCACTGGACAGCTCAGATGTACAGTGTATCTCCTTTTCATGACCTGTGGTTCTCAATTTGCCTATCACACGTGTTACTTAGGTTGTGTTCACAAAATTAGTTTGGCTTATGTAAATATACATCTTCACATGCACCACAATGCAAGCCACTCCAAGTTAAACGCATCCCTTCAATCACTTGGGAGAAAGTAACTGAACAATTCCTTTCGGTACGGACATACAATTATCAGAAAGGCTCGTGCACGACGTCAACTCATCGATAACCAATTTCAACCCTCCATCCTGGACCTCGACAGATCCAGCTTCCTTGCCACCCACCCATCACGACGAGTCCACCTAAAACCTGCAAGCAGAAAGCTCGCATCAAAAGTCATCACATTCAACCACGATCGGTCCATGAAGCACTCTAGACTTCATACACTCATTGATCACGCCGCTGAACACCATGGTTTCCATCCCATCGGTCCCCAATGCCAGCTACTGGCAGTACAAGGAGGACACCAGTTACGTCCTCAGATGGATTGAACAAACGGCTAAGGCTTGTGGATGGAAGAGGCAGCAAACGCAACAAACCACGCCAGCCCCATCATCTGGAGGTTCGAACACACAGAGCAGAACGAACACAAGGGTCCCTACGAAAGAAACCACCGGCACCAAGATGGCGACAACCTCAGGCAGGCTCAAGGGCAAGGATCGCAAGGCTGCGAAGCAGCAGGCTGCGGCAGAGATTGCTGCAGTCAATGAGAAGAAAAAGAAAGACGAAGGTGAGCGAGGGGTTGTTTTGAGCGCCCTGGAAATTCTTGAGCAGGCGAATTCGATATCAGCTCGTCTTACAAAGTCCGATTCCAGTGTATACCCACCACCGCCAAGTGTGCAAGTATCTGCCTTATACCTGCCACGTGAATTGAACACCGACAAAGCTTCCCGGGAAATGAAGCTCATCGTGTGTGGTCGTTCCATGGCACATACTGTGAGCTTCGCCACGCCCTCCGTGACAACCGACACACAAGGCGTCCTTCGATTCGAAGAGTCAAGCCACGTGGTGGAGGAGGGAGGAGAGCCAGTCGACATGAGCAGTTTGACATTTTCTTTCTCTGCTAGAAGGCTTTTCTACATCGCGATTGCCAAGAATTGTGTTTTCGCCGAACCTCTTCTTCAGCTGTTCTCGCTCGATCAACATGCGTTGTTGAATGCGGACATCGACAGGGTTCTCGACCGTGACAGGAGGCTATGCCGGCTTTTATTCGGGCTGGTGCGTCTGGGCTTTGCTCCCCCCGGAGAGCCCCTTGAGGGCTGCCCGCAACGGACAAGACAGAATTGGTCAGTCAGCAAAGATCCCATCATTGCCTGCCTGATCCCTCTCTGGTCGCGAGGCGAAGTCAACCTCACAAGCGTCTTCGCTGCCGAAGTCATGCTGGACATTGAGGAGATCTGCAGTGCTTTCGCTGCACCCAAAGCAAACTACGATGAGACGTTCGGCCGTTATATGGGCTTACTGGGTCTCGAAGTAGTAGATGATGCAGCCCCAGACGGAGGCATGTTCACCCATACAAAAGATAGTCCCCTCGTCAGAGGCTCTGGTTATGAGGGCTGGTTTGAGAAGGCCAAAGAGATCCTGATAAAGGCATTTTGCTTGTTACAAGTCCCAGCGGACTTCCGTCATCACTACGCAAGGGAGGAAGCCCAGAGAAAGGAATTCGACGTGCATTGCGGGGACTCCCACGAGCTTTACGCCGCACTGGATCCGCTGTCCCTCAAGCACACCAAAACTGAGTACCAACGATGTGGTCTATTCGATCACATACGGCTTTTGCCACACATCAACTATGTTTTCAAGAGCTATCCTATTTTCGCAACGCATCGAGAAGCCTTCATGCAGACCCTGGTCGAGTCAGCTGGTATCGATATTCTCAATGTCAACAAGCATGGAATCGGCGCCATGGCTCACATCTACAACGCGTCTCGACAGCTGGGGCTAGGCAACCTGAAGTGGCCTACCATGGACCGACTCATCGACCTGCACAAGGTCGCCTTGTTTGCCGGCGACATCCCCACCACCCCGGCCGCCATGCTCAAGAGCTTTTCACACCGGTACTGGGGCCCGAAGGGCAAGATGTCACGCAGGGAAAAATAGAAACGCATGAACAGTGCCATCACATTGATGAAAACATCCGCAATGGCACAGGCGTTCAATGAGCACTGGGACACCGCCGGTCGCATTCCCTTTTGGTACACCTTGGAGTCAAACGCCCTGGCCGCAGCAGCAGAGAAGAAGCCCGGCGACAAGAAAGCAGTATCATCTAACCCGAGCTTTGTCGAGAGAATGTCGGCGACGGAGGGGTATCTGACGAAGCAGCTCCAAGACGTACGCGTGGACTACCTGGAGATCGACCGGGTGGGTGTCGAGTTCAATAATGACCTACTCAAGCACTCCCGGGGGGTATTTGGGAAACAGGCGAACCGGGTCCTCCAAGAAGAGGCCGATGACCAGTGGAGCGGCATCGACTTCGTGTCGGAGTCGTTCGAGCAGGAGGCACAGCTCCACGAGGCGGTGTCCAAGTGCGGTGGCGACCCCTCCAAGCTGCCCGTCCAGGACTGCGACTACCTTCAGGACAGCATCAACTGCCTTGCAAATGTCCTAAGGGCCAAGGGCATTGGCGGGTGCCCAGATGCCACTGATGGGGAGGCTGTGAACGTGCCTACTTCCCTGACGCGTTTTAGGATACGAGGTTCGGAGGACTTGCCCGACATGAGACGACTCGTTCTCGTGTCTCATTGCAGCTGTTGCCACCGCAAGCATTACTTCTGAGCCTCTCTCTCCCGAAAATTCCGACTCGCTGGCAGGGATCAGGGTGAGGGGATGAGGTTGTTTGGACGCTCGCTACAGGAACTACTCATCACTGTTCAACTGTCCACACCTAAGTTTGTGCATGCTTTGCGGAGGAGGGAATCAAAAAGACCTGGACCCGGCTTTCTTCAGGGCGCGGGCTATAGATTGGAGGAGAGAATTGTGCGACACCCGGTTGAACCCGACGCTCTGCAATTCGTGGAAGTTCTCGAGGCCTCGATTTACGTTAGTCTCACTAAGAGCATATGTAAAAAGGCTTGTCACTACTGTATTAATCAATAACTTTACAGACAGCATAATACGGATGGTGTGACGTGAATACTATGGCCATCGACAAGTACTCAGGAGTGATCACCATGGCCTTCCATTTGGGATTCAGGGCAGACCGATGTGACCGGTCACCACGACTCATATAAGATATGTACAAGAAGTATTGGAGGCCTCCAGGGTGTGGGTGATTCAGTGCAATGACAGTCTTGGAGGTTGACTGGTCACAGATCCGAGGACGACCTGCAACGGAGCACTTTCAACCGCCTAGGTGAAGCCAGACCAGATGCCGCCACCTGGAGGAGAGTGTAAGTCGTAGCGGTGCTTGAGTAGATGTTGATCTAAAACAAGCAGTGTTAGCAGCATGTCCTTGCCTAAACCGTCTGTTCTCAGGGTTATCAGGCAGAATACTCACGTTGACACCAGGGTCGTTGGCGGAGGCATAGGCAGGAATCGAGTAGAGGAAGTCCGAGGATGGCGAAGCAGAGCCACTCCCGGTGACGACGAGTTGAGCACACTCAGGGTAGAACTGTGGCGTATTCTGTTGGTGGAGCGCAAGCAGCTCGTGGCGGATGAGGTAGTTGCCTGGGGCAAGGTTCGTGGGGATCTTGCTCGACCACTTGAGTTTCTATCCATAGGGTAAGGTCATGTCAGCAGTCCTACATCTCCAGCAACCGTCGGATTACAATGACCGATGGCACTTACATCGACAACAATAGCAGTGCCCCAGCTATCTCCACTCAGCGGCGGCGCAAACATACCCATCTGGTCAATCTTGAACCAGCTCTTGCTCTTGCCGTCGCAGGCGGAGAAGGCGCCGGCACACTTATACATCCAGACCATCACGGGCCCCTGCTTGTGCGTCCACTGAGACCAGATAGCCGTGATGTTCTGCCCGGCCGCTATGGTGGCCGTGAGCGCCGCCGAGGTGCCTCCGTTGCAGGTCATCTTGGCGTCTGAGACGCTCATGATGGGGTTGTAGTCGGGCCATTGACGCTGGATGGAAGCGGGCGAGGTGGCGGGCGAGAAGCCGGTGTAGCCGGGGTATGTGCTGGGGGCGGATCTGTGTTAGCTAAAACTTGAAAGTCGTCGCGGAAGGTCGGTGGGCCTGTTTGGTTTCTTTTTCTTTTTCCTCTTTTCTGTGTTTCTTTTCTTTGACTTGTTCTCTCCCGAAACACTTACGTCGAGCCTATCTGGTAGCTTGTAACGGCTCCGTGACCGGCGGCCAGGGAGGCGGCCGACAGGGCCGCGGCAAAGATGTTCAGCTTCATGATACTGCGATGCGAGTCGTCGAATTTTGGGAAGGCCGAGATCCTGTTCAATTGGAATATGCTTCTAGTTCACCCTAGATTGAAGTCTGTAGATTGAAGCCGAGGAGAGCAAGACCACAGAACCTGGGACATAGAGGAGTAGTTAAATACTTCGAGGGCTAATAGCTCAATTAATCGATCAGTCCTTTGTAATACACAGGCCGAATCTAAGCATTCCCACACACCATCCATGAATATGGCAATGTTATATCTGCAGAAGCAAGGCCGTTTATTACGCCGCGTGAATCAAGCGGCTAGCCGTTGTGTTCACCAAGAAAGTAGAGATCATCGTGGTCTGGAAGGTCTCTAGAACCGAGGCCGAGTCTGACAGACCACTGAAATCTCACCAACGCAGACAGCCACGGCTCGCGGACCGACTGGGCTGCGAGAGACTCGTCTTATTGATGAGGTGTAAGCTCCTTGTCCAGGTGACCAGAGACACCAGGGGGCCGTGCGGACCATGCTGACGAACAGACAGGCTCCTGAATAGCCGGGACGGCAGCTATCAAGAGGATGTGAGGCTTTTCATGGTCAGGCTCTGCCAGAAATTCGGCGTTCACCATCCGAAGAACAGATCCGGGGATGCTGGAGTGGCACTGATTGGGTGTAATGGGCCCCAGGTGTGCTTTCGGCTTTTGTCGATCCTAGCGTACCGGGATCTATATTGCAGGCTATTTGGATAATATAGTGATGTTGATGGGTACCCGGACATGCTTACAGTCCACTGCCATTAGATAACAACGGCGACATCTCTGCAGCACTGGCAGGATCGTGTTGTAGGTGGAAGTAAAACCTGTCTCTTTTTTTCGAACGTAATGAGTACAAGGCTCTTTCGTTAGTATGCCAAATGTGACTGCCCTGCATCCATGCGAGAAACTGGGTTTGTGATTCGACGATAGCGTGCCAGAAACAACTCGAATCCCATATATAAGATTCCAAATATAGACTCTCGAAGAAATGAGGCCATTCGAGTCGCGAACTGCATGCGGACAGCATAGAAGGGCTTGATTCCACCATCGTCAAACTGTTGCGCTGAGTTGTGAAATGAACTCCTTGGAGAAGATCTGACTTTCGTACAAATTTGAGAGCGTAAGTGCCAAAGAGCCGCACTGGTCGACGCATGCTGCCGTGATTCACACCTCGGACTCGTGGTTGGATCTCTGGTGGATGGCGACCAAGAAGGAAGGTCTGGGAAAAATCAACGTGTCTTAGTCAGCATCAACAGTACGTAGTTACATCCGCTGTCTGTCTTAAACGAAGTAATGCCCCCCCCTTATTGTTTTAATTAGCTGTTTCCTCTTGTATTAAAATTTGGCTGTAAACGCGGAATATATATTAAGATTCTTATAAATACCCTTATTTATATTACTATATATTTAATTTAATAAAAAAAAGATTATTATAACTTTATTTTATATATATTTTTAAAATAATTAAAAGTAATAAAATTAACTTAAGCTTATTATATTAAGAAATATATATTTTATTAGCTTTAGCTTAAGGTAATTATAGCTTACTTAAATTAATAAATAACTTATTTTAATAGCTTTTAAAAAATAAAAGCTTAGTTATTATAATTATATACTTATTTATAATGTTAAGTTATTTACTTTATTAATAAAGTATATATTAATTAATTAATAGCATTATTATATATAAAGAAGTTAATAATAAAGGTAAAGGCTGCTATTATTATAAAATAAAAGCTAATAATTTAATTAAAGCCTTTTTAAGATAAGTAAATAGCTGCTTAATATATTATTTAATATATTATTAAAAATATTAAGAAGGTTACCCTTAAAGCTATTTTTAATAAAAATAATGCTTTAAGTAGCTTAAGTAAAGCTAAGGATGCCTATGTTAATTAAAAAATATTAAGTATATTTAAATTATTGCTATTAGTTAGCAATGCTAAGGGTAGCAATATTAAGGAGTTAAAAAGCTATTCCTTATTAAGGAAATTGCTAGGAAAACCATTTTTAATGTTATATATAAAAGTTATTAATATAAAAACTTTTTTAATATTATTAATAAAGTAATAAAGCTTTAAGTTTAATAATAATAAGTATAAGGCTTTTAATATTAATTTATTACTTAGCAAGCTTTTCTTTAAGATAAAGAATTAAATTAAGATTAAGCTTATTAATATAAGAAATATAATAATTAAATTATTATAAATTTTATTTAAAGTAAGTTATTAGCTATAAATAAAAATATTTTTAATTTAATTAAGTATGGTAAAAAGAATTAAAAGGTATTTTAAGGAAGAATTTCTTAATAATAAAATTATAAAAATGCTTTTATTAAGCAAGAGTTCTTATTATTTTATAATTATATATACTTATAAAGTAATATTCTTAATAGCATAAATAACGCTTTATAGCATTATAATGCTAAGATAATTAGGTATTAAAATCTTTAAGCTTCCTTTATTAATAAAATTAATACTTAATTTAGCAAATAATTTGCTAATAGTTAAGCGCTTAAAAAGTATTCCTTTAATAAGAAAGTTATTATTACTTTAAGGCTCTTAAAAAGGGTTAATTATTATTTATATAATAATTATAATAAATAGCGATTAATTGCTTATTTTTAAGGCTTATAAAAAGTTAATATAAATATAATAATGCTTTAAGGGTTTTTATTATAAGGTTAATTATTATTATTATAATAAAGGGAACTTTTTATAATAATAATGCTATATTAAAAAGAATAATATATATATAAATATTATTAATGCTAATTTAAATATATAAGCATAAGCAATAATTAATAATAAGGCTATTATTTAAGGGCCTTTAAAAAAGCTTTTTATTAAGTAAATAAATGCTATTAAAGTTAATAAAAGTAATAAAAAACTTAGTAATAATAACATTAGCCTTATATATAAGTAAAAAAAGCTTAGGAAGGGTAATAAGTAAAGAAAAAGCGGTATTAATATAATGGTTAACTTATTAATTAATCTTTATGCCCTTAGCTTTAGGTATAAGCACTTAGTGATATTATTATTAGCGCTATTAGTGCTTTTATTAATATACTTATTAAGGGGCTTTAAAAAGCTGCCGGCATTATTAATATTAATAGCTTTTTGCTTAAGTAGCTTTATATATTATTATTAATTACTTATGCTTTTATTATTGCTGCTATAAATGCTTAGTAATTAAAAGGCTTTTAATAAAGACTTTATATTTAAGGCTTTATAAAAGCATTTCTATATATTAGCAAAGAAAAGGTAATTAATAAAGTTATAAAAGGTTATAAAGTGTAAAAATATTAATCTTTAAGCTTTATACTTAAAGGAAAATGTTTATTATGGGCTAGCCTTGGGTTGTTTGCCGTAAGGTGTCTAAATAGGGTTTATATTTAAAGTGCAAAGGAGAAGGTTTACTCCTTGTTTGCATTTATGCTAAAGCCTATTCTTATAGGGTTAAAGCCCATTAATTAATTATAATAGGTAAAGCTTAAACCATAATATATTTTCCTTCTTTAGGTCCTTATGGCAGGTTTTAAAGGATAGCTATATAATAAAAAATAAAGGATACTATGGTTTAGTTATAAATTAAATATTGCTCTTTACCTAGCTATTTAATTATATTTTAGCGCTTCTTAATTGCGTTAAAGGCTTAGCTTATTATTTATAATTAATATGCCTTGGCTTTTATAATTTAATATATTAATTAAAGTAAGTTAATAAAAAATAATTATTTAAATATAAGCTAATAGTTAAGTTAATAATATTTTTATAATTTTTTAATATAAGCCTTTTATATAAGCTTTTTTATTTAAAACCTTAGGATTATAGATTTATTATATAATTTATAATTAATTAGCGCTTAATTATAAATAATTTACTTTATTAATGGGAATTTCTTAGATTTTAAGCGTTTTTATAGGGTTAAATTAATTAATATATAGTTAGTTTGCTTTAAATTTAGGTTAGTGCTAAATTAGCATTACTTTTAAGCCTTATCTTATAAAAAAAATTTTATATTTTTTTAAATAAATTCCTTTTTTTTATTAGCCTTAATTAATAAAAGCTATATTCTTATTTTCTTATAATAATTAAAATAATTATGCTTATAATAACTAAGTTAATTATATATAAAATACTTAACTTTATTTATTAAGATTATTATAATATTAATATTTATTGCTTTATTGTTTTAAGATTAAGTATTATTTTCCTTTGCTATAACGCTAAAAACGCTCTTATATTATTATAAGGTAAAGCAAAAGGCCTTAAATATATTTAATTACTCTTTATAATTAAGCTAAGTTTTTATTATAAAGATTAAGCTATTAATTATTAATAATATTTTATATTTATTTAGTTAATTTTAAGTTTTTATTATATAAGTTAATTAATTAAATTAAATAAGAAATTTTATTATTCTTTCTTTATAGCGTTATTATAGCATAATTAAGCTAAGCTTAGCATGCCTTTACTTAAAAAGGTTCTTAAGTATAAGGCAAATCTTTTTTAAGAAGCTCTTTAGCTGCCTTTTAAATATCTTTATAAAACTAATATAAAGTAAAAAGTAATTATAAAAAGTTCTTAGCTAATTAAATATATAAAAGAATTAAGCCCTTTTAGCATTAATTACCTTTTTATTTATTATAAATTTAGCTCTTATCTTTATTAATTAAGTTGTTAAGTATTCTTAAAATAAAAGTTTCTTTAAATTAGGAAGGGCTTAATAAGCTATTATTATTCTTTTTAAATTTTGCTATATTAAATTTTATATAATTATATTATAGGTTTATAATATAAAAGGATTTTAAATATATATTATAAGTTAACCTTAGGTTATTTATTATAAAGTGTTTAAATAGAGTTTATATTTAAAGTATAAAGGAAAAGGTTTACTCTTTATTTGTACTTATGTTAAAGCTTATTCTTATAAGGCTAAAGCCTATTAATTAATTATAATAGGCAAAGCTTAAACCATAATAATGTTTAGTTTAATAAAAAGAGCTTAAATAGTATTAAATTAATTAAAAGGCTTATAAAGCTGTATTTAAAGAAAAAAGAGGACTTTTTTAGGCTTTTTAAAAGCGATAAAAAGGAAAAGGGTTTATTACTGCTATTAGCGTTAATGTAAAATAAGAATTATAATTTTTAGTAAGCAAAAAGCCCTTTAATATTAGTTCATAATGCATTAATATTAAAGAGTAAATTTAAGGCGTTTTTTAATAAATTTTAAGTATTTAATTAATATTATTTGCAAGAGAAAAAGTAATATAATTAGTAAAAGAGTTAATAAAGTAGTTATATATAAAAAAAGAGTATTTATTTAAGTATTTAAAAAGTTAATTAAGAAAATTAAGTATATCTTTTATAATAAATTATTAGCTATCCTTTTTTAATTGCTTTAATAATATTCTTTTTTTATTAACTTCTTTATTATTAAAGAACTTGCTATAAATAACCTTATTATAATACTTTTTCCTTTTTATTAACGCTGCTTCTTTTGTTTTTTTTTTAATTATATAGCATTTTTATTATTCTTTATTGCCATTACTACCCTTAAATTTCTTTTTTAATATATATATATAGCGGAAATATTTCTTAATTGCCTTTATATGCTAGCTAACCTTTAAAGCGCTTAAGTATAAAAAACTTATAAATTTCTTATTACTATTATAGTTATTTATTTTATATTAATATTAATAATAAATATACCTTTTTAAATCCTTAAAATATGCTTTAATTAAGTTAAAATTAAGGGAATATAGCGATAAATATATTAGCTAAATACCCCTTGTTTTAATAGCTATATAAATAGCGTAATTATAATGCTATAAGGCGTTATTTATTATAAAGATTAATTAAAAGCTTAAATAAGCATTTATTTAAGGAAAAACCTTTTTAAAAAGCTATATTAAGAAGAATTTCTTTATTATATGCCCCTTATATATTATAATATTAAGAAGATTGCTAATTATAATTACTAGCAATAAATAAAAGCAAGCGCCTTACTTAAAAAAACTCTTAATTTAAGAAATATACTTTAATAATGCTTAGCTTATTTTTTTTATATTATTATATTTATTAAGTTTTAATTTATTATAAAAAATAAATATCTTAATAATATATTATAGCTTAAAGATTTTAAAAAGGTAATAGCTTTAAAGGTTTTTATTATGCTATTAAATTAATATATATACTTACTTATTAATTTAATTATATATCTTAAGGGCCCTTATAATAATTTTCATTAAGTAATTAATTTAATATACTTTAATAAGTATTATGGTTTGGGCTTTGCTTATTATAATTAATTAATAGGCTTTAGCCTTATAAAAATAAGCTTTAATGCAAGTATAAATAAAGAGTAAATCTTTTTTTTTATACTTTAAATATAAACTTTATTTAAATACTTTATAGTAAATAATTTAAGGTTAGCTTATAATATATATTTAAAGTTCTTTTATATTATAAATTTATAATATAATTATATAAAACTTAATATAATAAGATTTAAAAAGAATAATAATAGCTTATTAAACCCTTTTTTATTTAAAAAAACTTTTATCTTAAGAATACTTAATAACTTAATTAATAAAGATAAGGGCTAAGTTTATAATAAATAAAGAAGTAATTAATGCTAAAAGAGCTTAATTTTTTTATATATTTAATTAATTAAGAACTTTTTATAATTACTTTTTGCTTTATATTAATTTTATAAAGATATTTAAGAGGTAATTAAAAAGCTTTTTAAAGAAGGTTTGCTTTATGCTTAAAAATCTTTTTAAATAAAGGTATATTAAGCTTAATTTAATTATATTATAATAATATTATAAAGAAGAAATAATAAAATTTCTTACTTAATTTAATTAATTAATTTATATAATAAAGACTTAAAGTTAATTAAATAAATATAAAATATTATTAATAGCTAATAGCTTAATTATAAAAAGTAATTAAATATATTTAAGGCCTTTTGCTTTACTTTATAGCAATATAAGGGTATTTTTAATATTATAATAAAGAAGAATAATATTTAATCTTAAAATAATAAAGTAATAAATATTAATATTATAATAATTTTAATAAGTAAAGTTAAGTATTTTGTATATAGTTAATTTAATTATTATAAGTATAATTATCTTAATTATTATAAGAAAATAAGGGTATAGCTTTTATTAATTAAGGTTAATAAAGAAAAGAAGTTTATTTAAAGGGGCGTAAAATTTTTTTTATAAGATGGGGCTTAAAAGTAATATTAACTTAATGCTAATTTAAACTTAAAATAAATTAACTATATATTAATTAGTTTAGCTTTATAAAAATACTTAAAATTTAAGAAATTTTTATTAATAAAGTAAATTGCTTATAATTAAATACTAATTAAATATAAATTATATAATAAATTTATAATTTTAAGATTTTAAATAAAAAAGCTTATATAAAAGGCTTGCATTAAAGGATTATAAAAATGCTATTAGCTTAGCTATTAACTTATGCTTAAATAATTATTTTTTATTAGCTTGCTTTAGCTAATATATTAAATTATAATGGCTAAAATGTATTAATTATAAATAATAAGCTAAGTTTTTAATGTAATTAAAAGGTGCTAAAATATAATTAAATAGTTAAATAAAGAGCGATATTTAATTTATAATTAAATTATGGTATTCTTTATTTTTTATTATATAGCTGCCTTTTAAGGCTTATTATAAGGATTTGGAAAAGGAGGATATATTATGGTTTGGGCTTTGCCCATTATAATTAGTTAATAGGCTTTAGCTTTATAAGAATAAACTTTAGCGCGGGTATAAATAGGGAGTGAATCTTTTTCTTTATACTTTAAATATAAACCCCATTTAAATACCTTACGGCAGATAACCCAAGGCTAGCCTATAATAATAAGAAAGCATTATATTTTATTAAAGTATATATTTAGCTTATTAAGGAAAAAATCTTTAAGCTTTTATATAGTAATAAAAGGGTGTTAATAATGTTTAAAAGGCTTGTTATATTAAAAAATATTATATATTTTTAAAGCTTATTGCTTTAATTTAACGGCATTTAATAATAATAATAAGGGTATGCTTAACGTTATAATAATTATAATTATAATCCTTTTTTAATATTATTAAATTATTGCCTTGTTATATTAAAATTTAGCTTATAGCTATTTATTTAATGGTAATAAATTTAAATATAAATAAAATTATAATATTTATAATTTTATACTTAATAAATAATAATTACTTATTATAATAATCTTTTTTTTATTAAATTAAGTATATTAAATAATATTAATAAGGGTGTTTATAAAAATCTTAGTGCATATTCTGTATTTACAGCTAAATTTTAATGCAGGGGGGGATAGCTAATTAAAACGACAAGGGGGGGGCATCACTTCGTTTAAGACAGACAGCGGCTGCCAAGATTCGTTCTAGAACTGAGTGCCTGCCGCTGCGGCACGATCCGAAAAGCTTCCAGAAGTTCGCCATCCCACCACCCATCCACTCACGAACCACCCAAATCTGATCACGCCTCTTCAGTCCTCAGAAACAATACACCGATTCTCCTCGACCTGTCTTCGCCAGCTTCTGCAACCGGCTCAGTACCCCAAAGCCAGACACCCACTGCCGACAATGGCTCTCCAAGCCTACCGCAGCCTCCTCCGCGCAACGCGCCTGACCTTCCGAGGCGACGAGCGGCTCCTCACCAACGCCCGGGACCAGATCCGCGCCGGGTTCCGCGAGAAGGCGGCGCTGTCCCCCTCGGACCCGGCCGTCGCGCCCGCGGTGCAGCACGCGCAGCAGATCGCCGCGATGCTGCGGGAGAATGTTGTGCAGGGGCGCAACGAGGGCGATGGGAGATATAGTAAGTTCTTGAGGTCCTATTACTGGTTTCATTGCCGAGCGGGTGAAGGCATTGTAGTACGGCGCTGATGGGCATGGCTTGACTTAGAGCTCAGGATTCACGAGCACACCGAGCGGGGCGACAACGATACGGTCAAGACGGCGGGTGGGCAGACTGTCAAGATTGGGGCTGGGTGCTGCTCGAGTTGAGACCTCATTGGAGTCAAGTCAATACGGTCAATGAAATCGACACTCAGGTGGTCCGTTAGAAGCGCTCTGACGACCAGCAGTGCATTGCAGCAGCGACGCGCTGACGAGGCCAGCTCAGCCCATGCACGCCCGGCGGGACGCAAAGGGGCCTACGAGACGAGCATGACGCTCACAAAGAGGGTTGGAGACATTCAAAAGAGGTGGATGGCTTCCGGTGTAAGATTAGATGATGATGTACAAATCCTATGATACCCCCTCCAATACTCACAAATGTTCGGGAAACCCACAAATGCCCCAATGCAATGGACTATGCTACCGGCCCTGTCTGCTGAGTGCTGATGTCTAGCCTTGCAACGACTGACTGCCTGGCTACCCTGAACTCCCGAACACCGCAAATGATATAATTTGATCGCAAGAGTAGGCTTTTCAGTTGCCAGACAGGCTGGCATAGTTGACATCAGACGCACCGGGCGGCGCGGCCACTGCCAGGTTTTCGAGGTCGTTCTGTTGGGCGCCGCTGCCACCTGCTCCGGTGGCATTACCGCCCTCGACGGCCTTCTGCCCTCCCTGTGTCCTCCTCGCCTGTGGAAATGCCGACCGTCCGTCCCTCAGCATCTCAGATCGCTCCTCGCGGTTCATATTTCCAACAGCCTTTGGCTGGCTCCATCGCACCCGTAACGGGCACCCGGCGATGACAGCCTTGCCCTGGCACGCCTCTGATGCCCTCTCCGCACCCTCCCTGGTCTCGTAGTTGATGAACGCGCAGTGCGACATGTGCGAGCACACCAGCGACTTGATCTTTCCGTGCGCCTTGAAGAAATCGCGAATTTTGTGTTCTGGTAGGTCGTCCTCGATACCCGTGACAAACAGCGACATGATGTTCTTATCGGCAGGCGGCTTCCAGTCGTTCGGCCCCGGTGGTAGTTGCGCCACGGAGGGGAATGCGCCTTTCCTAGGTCCTCCTGGCCTGCCTCCTCTGGGTCCCGCGCCCATAGCACCAGCTGCCCTCGAGTCTCGCGACCGAATCGGACCAGCGCCTCCCAGGCCAGCGCCCACCACGGGGTTTCCGCCTGTCGCGCTCCCACCAGCCTTTGAGCTTTCGCCAGTCGCATTGCCCTCCTCGTCGACTGTCCTCCCTTTCCTAAAGTACGGCTTGCTCTGCGCCAGCCTCCTCAACAGCTCGCGGGCCTTCTCGTCCGTCTTCTCGTACTCTTCGATGCCTGCCCTGCCCTCCTCGATGGCCTTCTCGTTGTTCTGCGCGAAGAACTCCCTGTTGATCTCGGACTGGGGGCCCGGGGCGACCATCTTAAGGGCGGCGTCGCGCACGACGATGGGCAGGCCGAAGGACAGGTCGAGCATGCAGCACTGGCAGCAGTTCTTGAGGCGGGCGCAGGTCAGGCACACGTTTGTGCGCTTCTTGCGGCCGTGGGCGCGGTCGGTGGACCACTGGAAGACGGTGAAGGGCCGCGTGCACAGCTTGCACTCGGCGGCGTAGTCCTCCTTGAGCATCTTGACGTACGGGTTCTCGGGCAGGCAGTTCTCGCAGACCGAGGGGAAGTCGGTCGACTCCCAGCCCGAGCGGTTGAGGTCCTGTTTTATTTGGGGCGGCATTGTTGTCGGGGCTGTGGTCGCGATCAGGTGGTGGTCGAGCAATCACGGTGATGAGACAGGATGATGTGGTTCGGAGTGGGCGTGATCGCTGTTGAATCGCAAGGAAGGAGAGGCCGAGGATGTCGCAGTGTGGGGTGATGGTATGAGGGTCGCGGGTTGATAGTCGGCGGTTGGGCTCGCTGACGGGAAACTTTGCAGTGGCGCTGAAAGCCGCAGGGAAGCGAGGTCAGGGAGCTTATCGATTACCGATCAGCCCATGCTTGACTTCCTTAGTAAGCATTCCGGCCTCTCTTGCCTTCTACCTCTTGCTAGAGTTTAGCCTTGAGAGTACTTGTATATTCACCCCTTGTGTTAAGCTGCCCCTAAATCTGGAATAGCCACGAGGTTAGAACATAACTGTGCTAAAGTAAGGTAAGGGTGAATCTAAAGCGAGCTTAACTAAATATGGCTAGACTTGATTAGACTTGCCCTGTATAAGCATGCCTGGCATTGGGATGTGCCGGCAGCCCGGATTTAAACTTATCCCATGGCTAGATGCATGGCTTCCTGGCGGATAAAAGATAAAGGTACTTTAAGTCCTGGATTATAATTATAAGATGATTAATCTTATAAATATATAATATTAATAATTATACTTAATAAATCTTAGCTTTTAATTTAATTTTAATGCTAAGCTTAAATTATTATTACTTTACCTTAAATAATATATTAAATATTTATTTATTTATTTTAAAAGTTTTTTAATTAAATTATTAGCTTTTACTTTATAAGAATAATAACTTTTATCTTTATAATTAACTTTTTTATATATTATAATAATATTAATTAATAAATATAATATTTAATAATAAAGTAAATAATTTAATATTATAAATAATTATATAATTATAATAATTAAGCTTTTATTTTTTATAAGTTATTAAAATAAGCTTTTTATTAATTTAAATAAAACGTAATTCTTTTAAGTTAAAATTAATAAAGTATATATTTTTTTATTAATAAGTTTAAATTAATTTTATTATTTTTAATTAATTATTTTAAAAATATTTATAAAATAAAGTTATTATAACTTTTTTTATTAAATTAAATGCATAATAATGATAAAAAGGTTATCCTTAATAATCTTAATATATATTTTATATTTAGAGCTAAATTTTGGTGCGGGGGGGAGAGCTGATCAAAACGACAGGGGGGTGGGGTAGCGTTTCGTTTTCCACACACAGCGATACCGTGTCGGCTTTCTCTCCGACGGACCGCACCAGCGAAAAGACGACCGGCGATCCTAACATGAGGGGTTCGGCCTTTCCCACAGCATTGCGAGTGACTCGGGCCAAGAATGCCCGGCTCTGGTCACTGCAAGGGATCACAAAAATGGAAAAAGCTAGGCGCTTCACTGCCAGGTGGATAGGTCGATGACTAAGACAACAACTGCTCCTAACGTCGGTCAGAAGTTAATGTGTGGCACCTGGGAGACGGCAACCTATGCTTTGCTGGAAAGAATCCAAAACCTCGGGACCTATTCAAGATATTTGACGCTGCAAAAATTGGAAATCGCACGATGTCGCACAACGAGGCGATTCTGATCACCGGCGCAGCTGGCTTCATCGGACAGGTCCTCGCAGCAGCGCTGCTCGAATCATCACCAGACATCACCTTGACCTTGACCGATATTACAAAACCACCGGTACCCGCGTCAGTCTCGCAGCATGCAAATCGCGTGACATCCACCAGCAGCGACTTGAGTCATCTTCCTGCTGTCGAGTCCCTCCTCTCGACTCCTTTCAAGGCGGCTTATCTCCTCCATGGCCTGATGTCCGGCGGCGCAGAAGCCAACCTCGAGCTGGGCTGGCGTGTTAACTGGGATAGCCACCGGTAGGGTTGCTTTCTTTGCTGGCTCACTTAGCCCTCTTGTGGTACGAGCAGCTAATCAATGTTGCCCCGAAAGAGCCGTCTTGGACCGATTAAGGGTGCATCACCCGGGCACTGTGGTGATCTTTCCGAGCTCGCTGGCCGTATACGGCCCTACTGGTCCTGGGCAGGTCACAAGCGAATCCACAAACCCACTGCCCCAGTCTTCGTACGGCGCGCAGAAGCTTATGGTGGAGACATATCTGAACGACTTTTCGAGGCGTGGTCTCCTCGATGGACGTATTGTTCGACTCCCGACCGTTGTCGTGCGGCCGGGAGCGCCATCCGCAGCAGCTAGCTCTTTCGCCAGTGGCATTATTCGCGAGCCATTAAAGGGGGAAAAGAGCATCCTCCCAGTCTCGCGGGATCTGGAGATGTGGATCTCCAGCCCCAAGACCGTCGTCGCGAATTTGATACGGATCAAAGATGTGCCCAAGGAGAAGTTTGGCTTGAGCAGGGTCCTCAACCTTCCCGGAATAACTGTGACAGTTCAACAAATATTAGATGCTGTCGAGAAGACAGGAGGAAGCCAGGCACTCAGTTTGATCGAGGAGGCTAGAGACGCAAAAGTTGAGGCTATTGTCGGAAGCTGGCCAGCTAGATTTAATACGTCTAAAGCACAAGGCCTGGGTTTGGAGCCTGATCAGACTTTGGCGGAAACTGTCAATGAATTTGCGGGAAGCTTAAGTCGATAGACCTTACTTTCCTACCAAGACAGAAGGGCAGTGAGTCATGTAGAAGAGCTCGAAAATCACGTTTCAAACGAGACATGTGTAGATGCATAATTATCTCATTCCGAATATGAATTCACTAGGACTAATGTAAAATGAATTTCACGTTCATTGGACGATGCTCTTAGGACACAAATTTGGTGCTAAGGCACCTCTACTGCGTTCAGTCTTCCATTCTGTACAAATTATATTACAAGCTCTCAGGGCTGAAGTTGTCAATCATCCCAGAAATATTGGTCCCATTACTAAAGTACATGAGCTCTGGAGCCCCGAGGCTCATGCTGCTATCAAGTAAGAAGTTCGCGTCGAAGCTGAAGGCAGAATCGCCGGAGAAGGCAGGGTTCATCAGACTAGCGAAGTCCCCGTCTTCGCTCTGAGCGGGTGCCAGGTCCAGGCGAGGCTGTTGGCTCGAAAGAGACGTCCCATTTGCCCTCAGGGTCTCCACAATCTTGTCCAGGCCGTCAGCCATAAGATTGACTAAGTGCCATTTTCCTACTGGTGTCGACCGGTAGAAACCTGCGAGTCTCGCGATTGAATCCACCACTTGTTGTCTGTCTATCAACTGCTCGCCGTGAATCATGGAGAGTTTGGCCAGGAACATGCAGGCGAAAGCTGACATTGAATGCATATAGGACGGCATCCCTGCGAGTGCAGGTTGAATTTCAGCATCCGCTATGAGGAGGTCGATGATAGAAGTTGCTGCCGCCGCAGCCGAGGAAGCTGGCTCCAGGAAGTATGAGGGTATAGAGTCTCCCTTGCGAAGGCCTCTGAAGATGTGGGAGTATAGATGTAATTTGGTGAAATGGAAGTGTAAAAGAACTCCCTTGCGGGGGAAAGTCCCAATTCGTTCATGGTGATCTGCCATCCACGTAAGTCATGGTGCTGAATGGCCATCACACTGAGAGTTGCCAAACATACCTGTAACTACCCCAGACCAATGACCGACCCATTGGTCGAGTTGGCGGGCAAATTGTGTGATTTGCATCGAGTATACTTGAGGAACCGGATCGCCAGTGTCTGGACCAAATAAGTCACGAATGGTGTGGATGATATTCACCAACGCAACCTGACTGGCAAGCCGTGTATCTTCCGATGCTGTGTTGGGAGGAGACCGCGACATGAAGGTTTTCCAACCCTGGATTGCCAAGTCCTCTCTGATGATAGGTTGCCGTCCATATAAAGTTGACAGATGCTGATCACAAATGTGCAGCACGTACCAGAGTCGCACGTAATCCGCCGATTCTTCGCTCCCTTCCTCTGTTGCCTGTTTGAAATGCCTGATGAGGTTGAACTCGGCGGCTCGCCTTATCGCACAGCCTGAGACCTCCCAGCTGATGTCGGAAAGCCAGTATGAAGCAATGCACATGGCCCTCAGGTAGTCTGAGTCGATGCGTCGGTCGAACATGGAGGAAGCCAGGAGACGGCGGCACTCCTTGTAGCATACTTGCCGTGGCTGTTAACTAAGGTCATGAATAGCAATGTAATGAGGATGACTTGCGTACCTCCATATATTTTATTGCTTTCGGGATCATGCAGTGCGGAGACAGTAAAGATGCACGTAGTCAGGATGGTGCTGCGGTGGCGGAGCGCCTCTAGTGTTCCATAACGCCCACCTATTCCATACATGAATGGGTCAAGATGGTCCCTATAGAGGGTGAAAAGACGCTCGGCGTCCTCAAGAGACAAGCTTCCCCTGGAAACAAGGTCATCGACCTTGGGTCGAGGATGCCTCGGAGTGTCGTCCTTCCCGATATCATCTGGAGAACGAAGGGCTCTGAGCTTCGTCAACTGGTAGACCGAGTTGATGGGGACCTTTGGAAGTTCATGTTCGTCTTCTGGAGAAGGCTTTGGGGAACTGTCCCGAGACAGTCCAAATTCATCGGCTAGGCGAGGTTCTGTTGCCTCCTCGTAAGTCGGAGACAACAGCATCTGCCCAGGGCTTTCAAGCTTAGATAATCGGGGAAGTTGGAGGGTCTTCAAGACATCGTCAAGACTTGAGTGGATCATCTCCAAATCGCGAACCATTGCTAGAGAAGATCTACAAAGTGTAGAGCAACGTCAGTGACCAATAGATTGCCAGCCTGCCAGGGGTTCGTCTAAGTGTATTGTGGGAGTAACCTTGGTGGAAGGTATTTTCGCAGTCCCTACCTTGATCTTTCGTTGATGAGAGTTTGAATACTTTTGTTCAGGACGCAGCCCTATACCGACACGTATCAGAAAGATCCGTGGAGGTTGAGTATACTTAAAAGAAGGGCATAAGATGCTTACAAGGTTCTTCTCGGCACATCTTTTGCAAGGTGGCCCAGTATTTTCGTCCATAATGCACTTTATCTGCATAGCGAGTTCCTTAGCAATTTATGATGTCCAGGCTCGTACTAGAAAGACACTGAACGGCAAGGAAAACTTAATACCTTGTGTTTACGGCAACTCGCACAAGCGCGAATTTTGCGAGAGATCATCGGGATGTGTTGCGACGTCGAAGTAGATGCCGCAGCCGTCGGCGACGTTGACGGCGCATCGCGGGCCGCCGCCTGATTCTGAAGGGGATGCGATTGCTGCGAACCATGTCTGCCGGCGGTGCTACCACTGCTACCTTGCAACGAGCCGGCAGCATCCAGGTCTGAACCTGCATTTGCCTCCTCCCATGTGCGCTTGGTTGGGGCCATTCTTCTGGCGTGCGACGCGGAAAAGTTCACAGGCGCGGGACACGTACGAGTCGCGAATGGACAGAAGGAGGGGGAGCAATGACAACGTTCCTCCTGTATGGCCTGTGAGGCACCTGTGTGGGACCAATGCGGCGGAGAACTCCTCTTTTCTCCTCCGCTTTACTTGGTCTCCACCCAACTGGGGAACCCCTGCTGAGGAGGGGAACCCACTAGCCGTCCACGGTGGTGGCCTGTTAGATTGCCAGAGTAGTTAATCCAGTGCTGACCTGGATTGTGCATTTCATCAGATACTGTGATTCCCCCCCCCCCCGGGCCACGTTTCGTCTATTCAAAGTACAACGAGCGAACGTGATCAAAGCCATGGTTGAAGCGGACGCTTACTTGCAATCTGTCGCGACGGAATTGGTTCCTGATCCCATAAACGTGCATTGGAGAGGGTCGGGAATAGACTTATCCGACTGAGTGTTCCCTCAAGGTTTCCAGAATTATAAACCTGACTTTCACTTGAACCATGATTTATAGCCTTTTATTTTGTAGCGGATACTTATAGACAGATGATTTATTTGACTTCAAAAGACTGCTTGTATGTCTGACCGGTCCTGCCCGCAGCAGGAAGGGTTTTAAAAGCCTGTCCTGCCTTGACTCTGGAATCATTCCTGATGGACGACCGTGACTTCAGGCTTCTTGGTCTCGTGCCCGCCTTCCTCCTCGTCTCTCGCCTTTTGAAGTACATGCTCCTGCACATCGTGGCGGACCTTCTCTTCCTCTGTCGGGTATGCGTGCCGCCACATTGACCAGATGGAATGCTGGAAGAGATCATCCATGGACTCGATAGATCGACCCTTGAACTCTGGCATACAGAAATACACAAACACGGCACCGATATAAGTCAAGACTGCATAAAGAAGGAACGTGCTCCATCCCATATGAGTCATCATGCTCGGTGTAGCCTTGGTAATTCCATAGTCGACGATCCAGTTAATGAAGAAGCAAATCGACATGGAGAAAGAGCGTATTCGTGCAGGGAATATCTCGGCAGCCACAACGTAAGGTGCAACTGACCACCCGAACGACCTAGAGAAATGGGGTTAGAAGACGAAGTCTGTCACCAATGGGAAATTGACTTACCATCCAAAAGCGTAAATGTAGACCCAAATGATACCCACGATTCCTCCAGCCGGTGTGCCTCCCGTGGAGTCAGGCTTCGCAAATCTGATGTGCAGAGCAATGTACAGCATGGCTGTCGCTTGAAGCACGGCGCCAACCTTGACTTTCTGTTAGGCTTGATCAAGTGCGTAAGACTGGTGGGAGCACTCACCAGAAGCGGACGCCTTCTTCCAACACGATCCACAATGTAGGCAACATAGATGATCGTGGTTGCTAGCTTGACCAGGCCGTATACGCCCGTGGTCAGCAGAGACAAAGAGCCCGACTGCACCCCGATCATTTCGAAAATCTCTGGCGCAAAATAGTTCAGGCCGTCGGTACCGGTGAACTTGTGGAAAAGAAACAGGAAGGTCGCGAGGAAGAATCGACGGGAGTTGCTTGGGATCGTGGCGATATCTTTGATGACCACCCAGTAGTTCGATCCTAAACATTGAACAGTGGTAGATGCATCCCATTCTTAAAGAGTTGATGCTAAGAATATACACCTTACCTTTTGTGAGTTCCTGCTCAGAGTCAACTTGAGCGCAGACTTCCATGTATTCCTGAGCCACATACGGGTGCTCCGAACGGAGATTCCGCAACTTGCAGAGGTTGGCAAGGCCCTTTTCCCTCTTCCCCTTCGCGATCAAAGCCCGAGGCGTGTCGATGACGACTGCTCTGAGTTAGTTTCTGGCTTGAACACCAAATCACGCACTCATACTTACACCACAGCATCAGAAACATGCAGCCTCCTGGTATTATCTGAATCCCCAAGGCCAGCTTCCACTGCAGATTGCTCGACACAGGCCACAGCGATACACCGTAATTTGTCCAGAACGCCAAGCTGGAGAGGACAAATGAGTTAGTAATGGACTCATGGCGTGCGCCTTGGGACTGGACCAACCTCAGAGCCAATATGATACACAAGTTGTAGGATGTCGTAAGGGAGCCACGGATCGACTTTGGAGAGTTCTCGCCAAGGTATTGTGGTGCCAACATGCTGGTTCCTCCAATGGCCAGGCCGGCAATGAAGCGCCCGGCGTAGAACGAGGGCAAATGAGCAATCTCTTGCATCGTGGCACCGATGAGGAAGAGGGTTGCGAAGACAGTCATTGACTTCTTGCGTCCGAGAAAATCGGCGAAGGGCGCTGCTATCAACGCCCCGGCCGACCCGCCTGCGGCCACTGTACTTTTCTGTTAGGATCCATTTTCATCGGAAGGAGGGTTAATACGAACGCATGGCGGCAATGCTTCCGGCTGCAACGAATTTCTGGTTAGCATTTACACACTGGTTGTATGAGAGCGCGTAGGTTTGGTTGGATGGCTCGCGGCCCTTGCCGGCGCACATCCAAGCCAAAGGCTTTCTTGAAACTCGGGAGGGTGAGCACACCACCGATGTCGCCTTGGTCAAAGCCATATGAGCACCCAGCAAAAGCAACCGTGGTGGTTAGGTACCAGAGCCTCCAATTGAAGATCTCCCTGGGGTCGGACTTCCAGTCAGGAAACGCCCATATCGACGTGCCGCCACCCATTTCGTCGGTCAGTTGGGTTTCTGTAGGATCGGAGGAGAGTTTAAAGACACAGGTTTAATCTCGAGTCAAAGCTCGGTAACAAAGTCCCGCGTTGACTCGGGTAGACGACCTACCAGCCTCAACAGTCCAATGCCACGCATCCAACCTTCTCAAGCTGCCAGACGGAACACCCCTCTGCGTCTGGTTCGGCGGGACCCAGGAGGGCACCCACGACATCTCAATCCATCTCTCCCGGCTCGTGCCCGGCCCTGACTCAACCTGGACTGAACCGGTGCGCGTATCGGCGGACAAGGAGCGCAGCGAGCAGAATCCAGTCTTGTTCCGGGACCGTGCCACGGGGGCCATCTGGCTCTTCCACACCGCACAGCCTCTCGGCAACCAGGACGAGGCGGTCATAATCGCCCGCACGTCCAGCGACGATGCTCGCACGTGGTCTGCGCCCTTTGAGCCGTTCCCGGGCAAGAAGGGAGTCTTTGTTCGTCAGCCTTTGGTAGTGCTCCCCGGTGGAACTTGGGTGTTGCCTATCTGGTATTGCCGCACGCCGCCTGGGCTCAGGTGGGTCGGCAACGATGACGTCTCTGCGGTTCTCTATACGCAGGACGGAGGTAAAACCTGGCTCGAGAAGGAAGTCCCTGATTCTGTGGGGCGTGTGCATATGAACATTGTGCAGCTGGGTGAGAAATCTTACGTGGCCTTCTTCAGAAGCCGATGGGCCGATGAAGTTTACCGGTCCGTGTCGGAGAATGGGCTTGATTGGAGTGCCCCTGAGAAGACCTCACTGCCAAATCCCAACTCTGGGATTGGTGCAGCGGCTCTGCCCAGTGGTGATATCGTGATTATATATTCAACGACTCGAGGGCCAGCCCGGAGATGCAAAGAAGGACGGTTCTCTACGACGATATCACCCCTGCAGAGGACACGAGGAGCAGCCAACCGGGTGTGGGGAGCAAGGTGGCCATATGGGGGACGCCTCGGAAAGCGCTGTCTGTCGCGCTGTCGAAGGACAAGGGCAAGACTTGGAATTGGAGAGTTCTGGAAAACGGTGACGGGTTCTGTATGACAAACAATTCCCAGGAGCGCACCAACAGGGAGTTGAGTTACCCCAGCATTGTAGTGGACGGAAAGGGACAGAACGGGGTGGACGTCGTATACACTTATCATCGGCGAAACATCAAGTATGTCTCCATACGAGATGTTGAGGAATTTATCTGTAAATCATAGACAAACAAGGAAATTACTGATAGCCCTTGTTCTCGACATGTGTTGCTGAAGAGTACATACTGATTTTATTAGGGCTGGATTCGATATTGTAGTGTATGACCAGCTCTCAAATCTTTCCCACACCGTTGTATAGTGACTGATATCCTCTAGGTTTTGATCCATGCTGGGACAGACAGAACCCCCGTATCTACGAATCCCAGTTGCCTGAGATGTTAAGTGTCTTTCAAAAAGGGTGTTGTACGTGGAAGTCGATATTCTCATTCAGATGTTTCACACATTGACAACATTTCAGTCACGAAGTGATTGTACGGTTTTCTATCTCTCTGAGTCCCTTCTAAATCATTGAAGTGCGTGCTCACTTAGTCGTATGCCGGCCAGGTAAGGCCTTCTCCGTCTCCTCCAACACTGATAATGTCTCTATTGTCCACTTTTTGAGGTCATCCTTCAGCTCCAGATACGGCTTCCGCATTTTGAACTTCTTCTCATTCTCCACGCCTATCTGCTTACCAAGGTACCACCAGGCACCGTACTTTGTGCACGCCAGTGACTTCTTGCAGGCCCACTCTGCATTGGCAACCAGATCCTGTAGTTCTCTGGCTTTTTCCAACTCTCCGGCCGCCCAGTAGTCGTATATCCTGGATGTGGACTTGGGGAAGATATTGCCCATCCCGGTGACACAACCGTTCCCGCCCGCGTGCAAGGTTGGTAGCAAATAGTCACTGCTTCCACCGTACACACCAAAGTGAGGAGCTTCAAACTTGGACGTCAGCCGCGTGAGCTTTCCCACGTTTCCGCAGGTAAGCTTTGTGGCCACGATGTTGGGGTGAGAGGCCAGCGCGGCCAACTGGTCGGAGTCCAGATCGATGCCGGACGTGACCCCAGGGAACTGAGAAGTGGTTAGGCTCTATTCTGCAACTGGAACAGATCAGTCTGTGAAGGGTCTCACATTGTAAATAACGACGGGTATAGGACTGGCATCCGCCACGTCACGGTAGTAAGCAACGAGGGCCTCCGTCGGCAGCGCCTTGGCCCAGTAGCTCGGAGGGAGCAGAAGGCCCCAGCCCGCCCCTGCCTCACCTGCCTCTTTGGCGAGCTGAATCGTCTCCACGGTGCTCTGCGCTGAGATTCCCGCAACAATGGGATACTCGGGAAGACCCATGTCGTTCACCATCTTCCGGGCGTTGCGGAGGATCTCCTGTCTCTCCGGCCCGGTGAGCAGGGCAAGCTCGCCGTTTGTGCCGAGGTAAACGAGGCCGTGCATGCCGCTGTTGATCAGGTGCTGGCCGTGGGCATACATAGCCTTCAGGTCCACGGGCTGATCGGCTGCATCGCTGTAAATAGTGATCACTGGAGTGTAAACACCTGGGGGCAGCGGCTTTGCCTTTGCCGCCGACGTTTTGAGGCCCATGGTGGTTGACACAGCTTAAAAAGTTGGAGCGAGACGAGTGATTGTGCTGTTAGACTTGCTAGAGCTGAACGTAAATTGCAGGGAAGACACTTGAAGGCGGTTTTAGGAACTTGTCTGTGTACTCTTTATTTGTTAGTTTACACAGATTTACAAAATCATGGCAGCATTGTAGACCAGACTCCATGCTGCCCCTCCATGAAGCTCCGGAGCCAACAGTGGGTCTGGAGTTGTAGATCGCGCCGGGACCGGGGCGGGACCCTCTATTCGGCTTTCTTTCCGAGCTCCAGTCACCAATGTCTGCTGCTGGCGGAGAGGTTGCAGAGCACACGCTCAGGTGGCATAGATCGAGAGAACGGCGGCTAGAATTAGCGCATTGACCCTGCTTCCAAGAAACGGTCGTTGAATAGTTGGACTTCACTTGTTCGAAAATTACAACCTCTGAGGCAGTACTCAGAGCTCACAGCTCAATATCTATATTCTCAATACCGCAGGCAGTATACTAATCTATATGCATGCCCTTTGCCCACTGCAGTGAGAGACTTTATGTAATTGTCATTTATTAGTCTTCCTTTCATATTCATCATACCTTCTGCATTTGCCCTTTACCCCTCTGCACGTATACTCTACCGATCATTTCGAGATACAATCACCACTACTTTGCTACACACCACGGGTCCAACGTCTTCTTGAGCGGATGGGCCGTTCCAAACTATAAGTGCCGGGTCCACAGGAGCGATTAACGCACTCCTATCGTCCTGCGGCGTTGAATCTGCTTGTTTCTGCGGACTTATTACAAACCTAGCGCATGCAAAGCTTCCTTGGTACCAGGTACGGACTTCAGGCGACAATGATGGAGCCAACCTCAGCGATGAAGGAAGCGTCGAGGAAAACCCACTGCAATGGCATGGCGACCACTGGGACGAGCTACTGGACTATGAGAGTCCTTACATCGACGCGTGGCCTGGAGAAGAGTGGCTAACTACGCACCTTGAACTGGACGACAGGAGTGTGTCGAACGAGCAGCTCTTCAATAATCCTGGCACTCAGTATTGGTTGCCAAAGCTGGCAGGTCTGGCCCGTAGTGATTTTACAACGCTCAAGTTTGCGCCAGGGCGTTTTCTTCCAGCCAAGATCCCTCTTTTCACAGACGACGAGACTGGCGACGAATACCAAATCGCTCTACGTCTCTCAGACAAATTTATATACACAGATTGTCCGAGAGATCCAGTACCATTCAACGAACGAGCCGAGCCTCTTTCCAGAGTCTTTTACCAAGAGGTGCCCGCAGAAACGACGCAACAGCATGCTGAGCTCCCGCGGTTCATCATACCGCTTGGCCCACTGGCAGTTCGCACCAAGTTCCGCGTCCCGGATCCAGAAAGCTCTGATAGCCCTCCAACAGATTTGACGGACTATCAAGTGGTACTTGACGCAGAGAACGAGGCTATGCCGCTTTGGCTTCTCTGCTCACGGCGGACGTTGAAGGAACACCACCAGGCGTACGGCGGACGCAACCGTCAGCTCCCCATCTTCAAAGGGCTAATGGAACATGAAGAGTACGGGTATGATGCTGCCTGTATGCTAGACTCGGTGCAACGGCTTAGAGATTGTCTCAGCTACGAGGAGTCATGTGACATGGTCCGGAGGACTCGTGCTGTTGTGCTATTCGTTTAGAATAGTTTGTAAATGGGAACTTGGTTGGCGCATTATGGGTTAGAAAAGTTGTAAGCTAATTGGTTAATCGCTGTAAGTATTGCCTTAGAGTGCAGCGATGGCTATGTTGCTATAGTTTTTAAAAACTTATGATTTAATTAATTAAATGCCATAGGCGTAATGAAAAGCTAAAAGTTAATTAATAGTAATAATAAGGTTATGTAATATTTTTTTATAAATTTAGAAAGTTATTATATAGTAATGAAAATTATAATTATATAGTTTAGTTAATAAAGGTATTATAATGATAAAATTAAGATCCTAAGGGTTAATAGCCCTTTAATTAAATAAATTAAAGAGATTTTATTATAATTTAATCCTTTTTTAAGTTTAATAAGCTTTTTTTTTTAGCTTAGGTTGCTTTATTTTATCTTAAGAGGGGATTTTCCTTTTTTAGGAATTTTCTTAAGGTTAAAGTTTTTTTATTAACGCTATAATGCTTTTTCCTTTATAATAAAGAGCTGCTTAAACTTTATATTGTGAGGGCTATAGGTATAAGTAATACTTAAAGCGATTTATAAAGTTCTTTTTTACTTTTTTATTAGGTTAAAATATAAAAAGCTAAGTGGCTAAACTTAATGTTATAAGGGCTATGGGTATATTTTTTGTATAAATTAAATTTTTAAACTTATTTTTAGCTTTTTTCTTAGCATAAGTATAATTTTAATAGTTTTAAAGAGCGGTATTTTCTTATGATAAAGTTAAAAATGAGTATAAGAATAATTATAATAAAGCTAGCGAAAAGTATTTTCTTATAGTAAAGTTAAAATTATAAAGATTGCAAGTATATTTTTTATATAAATTAAATTTTTAAACTTTTTTTTGGCTTTTTATTTAGCATAGGTATGGCCTTAGCAAAGCTAATAAGCAATATTTTTATATAATAAAGTTAAAAATAAGTATAAGGATAAGTATAATAAAGCTAATAAGGAGTACTTTCTTATAATATTAATAAATTATAATTAATTAATAATTTTTCTTTAAAAATAAAATATTAAAATAAGTAATTTAATAAAGGGTAAAGAGAAAGTATTATTTAGCCTTACTTTATAATAATAATAAGTAAAATTTATTATAAATAGGAAGAATTTATAAAATATTTATTATTCTTAAGTTAATTAATTTATATATAGATTAGTTAATTAATTTAACTTTTATATATATTATATATACTTAAAAAGTAATACTATTAATATTATAATGTAATGTTAAGGGAGGAGTAACTTTTTGCTTTGGATAGCTTTGCGTTTTGTAAGGTATATAGAAATTAATAAAGGGAAATATTAAAAGCTTATATATATAATAAGGCGTAAAGTAGGTTTAAATATATAAAAAAGCTTGGCTTATTATTTAAAATTATGGAAAGGGTTAATTTTATAAAAAATGCATAATTTAAGTTAAATATAAATAGGAATATAATATAAATAATATTTTAAGATTAAGATATTTAAATATAATGCTTTATATTAATAGCTTATTTTTTTAAAAAGAAGTTTTAGGTTTATAAATAGGAAAGTAATAATATGGTAAATAATTTTAAGTAAGGAGAAATTAATAAGAAGGGAGTTAAATTATTAATTAATAAAATAAAAACTTATTATATAATGATTTTACTTAAATATTTCTTATTATATATAATTTTAATCTTTTAAAATTATTATTTAATAAGTATTAAATTATAAAGCTTATAATAAGCTTATTCTTAATTACTTAGGATTATTTAAGGTATTAATAGCATTTTTTATTTCTTATTTAGGCATTACTTTTATTATTAAATAATAATGCTTAAGCAGTAATATTATGCTTATAGTAATAATTATTTAAATGCTAAATATATTTTATATAAGTATTATTTTTAAATTTAAGAATAATTATGTAATTTTAAAATTTAATAGTTATAAGGTTGGTATACTTATTAATGTATGGATGGATAAAGAGTTTATATAAGGCGATAATAAATGTATGAAAGAGGTTTAAAAAATAAATAATTTTAATAATAAGGAGTTTAATATCTTTATTTAAATATATATAAATAAGGATATTGCGTAATTAAAGCTAAAGGGTAGTTATCTTTTTATTTTAAAAGCTAATTAATATATAATTATAAAAAATATAATAAGAAGAATTTTAAAATAAATATTAATAGTAAGTTTGTTTAGCTAAGTATAATTAATACTTATTATTATAAGAAAGATTGCATAAAGCTAATTATTAATAATATATTATATAATTTAATTAAGTAGCATTATAATTAAAAGGGTAAGAATAGTTATTATATAATAAAGATTAATTATTATTTATAAATTTTAATATTAAAAGGATTATATAATATAAAGAGGAAACTTAAATATATATATTATATAATAAAGGAGGGAAAAAAAAGAAAGAGGAGTGGAAAAGAGAGAAGAAGGGTTTTATATTAATAAGTAAGAGGTTATTTAAATAATTAAAAGGATTATTTTTTTAAATAGTAATTAATTAATTATATAAGTAATTTATTAAAAGATAATCTTTTTCTTTCTTTTTCTTTAAGTTAATAGTATTATAAAAAATTAAAGGAAAAGTATAATAAAAAATTAAGTAAGTAAAGAGCTAATATTAACTTTATATTAAAAGCTTATTTATATTATTTAAATATAAAAAGTTATAATGTAATATATAAAGAGCTAAGATAAAGTTTAGAAATTAAGATAATATCTTTTATTTATTATTAAGTTAATTTCTTTCTTTTTTTTTTATAACTTTTAATATTAATAACTTTTAATATTTACTTTTAATAAGGTTTTAATAATATAGTTAATAAATATTTTAAATTTTTTATTTAAATGGCATGAAATTAGGTAAGGAGTTTAGGATATTTATTAGCTTTTTTATTAAATAATAATCTTAATATATTTATATTAAAAGGAGTAATTTACTTATATGGAAAGATTTCTTATTTAATAATAGCTATTATAAAGATTATAATTTATTTTTAAAAAAGAGATATTAACTTAGCCCCCTTATAACTTTATTTAAAAAAATATTAAATATAATATGATTTTTACTTTTAAATCCTTGAAAGTTAAAGATTTTAATAATATAAAATTTGGGTTAATTAATAGTTATTTAGCTTTAAAATTTATTAAATTATAAGCAAAGTATTATTTTTAAAATTAATTTTTATATATAGTAATAAGGTAAGTATATTGCAAAGATATAAGGCTTAGCAAACTTTTTACTTAAATTAAATAAGGAGTTTGCTAATTCTTATATAGCTAAATATAAATTCTTATTATTAACTTTTTATAATAGCCTTAAGTAATCTTTATATGCTTAATAAGCTAAATATTATAATAATTAACTTTTATTTAAAAGGGTGCTATATATTATTTAAATAAATTAATTAATATTCTTAATTATAAAAAGTAAATATAAAAAAAATAAAAAATTAAATATAAATTATAAATACTACTTACTTATTTATATAATAATACAGCCCCTTAAATTTTATCTTATATACTTTATATAACGTTAAAATAAAATAATTTGCTCTTTTTATTTTATATTTATTAATAAAGCTTGCTTTTTTTATAAGTAATCTTTTTTTTTATATAATAATAAATTAGCTTAATAGCTAATTTATTAAGCTATATTATTTTTTTAAGATTTAAAAAGAAATTCTTTAATTATTTTTAGCTTTAAAATGCTAAAATACCTTTAACTTTATTAATATTTATAGCTTTTATATTTAAATTAATAAATAGCTTTTAACTATTAATTAAAATAAATACTTAAGCTAAACTTAAAGAAAAGTGCAATAAGCATAAGTTCTTATTAAATATAGCATTAAAGCTTATATTATAATTTTCCTTTTCCTTTTCTTTTTTATTTTTTTTAATATTATATATTTAATGCTTATAAATAGGAGGTTAAGTAAGCTAAATAAATTAAGGTACTAATATATTAATAGTTAGTTATAATATGATTTAATAGTTTTTAACCTAATCATTATATGCATAATTTAAATAAGTACTTTTTGGGATTAAAGGTATAGGATTAATATTAAAAGCCCTTACGCAACCTTGCTATAAGTTATATTATTAATAATACTTATTATAAGCAAAGTTAAATATATTAATAACTTAATAAAGAATTATAATTAAGTTTTTATTAATAAGAAATGTATTAAAGGTAAGGCTTAATGCAAAGATTATATTATTTATATAGTAATAATTATTATTAATAAGCTTATTAATTATTAATAAATTTAATAACTTTTTAATAAGCTAGTTATTTAGCCTTATTATTAAGTAATGTATAGTTATTATAAGAATATTTACCTTAATATAGTTTTATATAAGCATTAAGAAAAACTATTAAAGATGCTTAATTAAAAAAATAAGATTAATATTATATACATCTTTAAGTTAATTAGTAATTCCTTATTTATTAAATGCTTATTTAATATATATTAATATAATTATAAGGGTAAGATATATTTAAATTATTATTTACTCCTTTATTATTAATATTATTACTTTTACTATTAATTTAAAAAGAAGTTATTAAATAAATTATTAATTAAATAATTAAAGAAATATATATTATTTAAAATTTAATTAAAAATTAATTCTTATTATTATTATTATTATTACTAATGCTATTATTATTATTATTATAGCTAAGGAAGGAATAATAAATACTAAGGGTAGGGGTAATGTATTTTAAGCTATAAATATAAAGCTGCATAAACTTTTTATTAAAATATAATAAGGAGTTTATTAATCTTAATTAAGTTAATATAGCTAAAATTATACTTACTTTTATTTTATTTATAAACTTATATTTAATTACTTTATAGTTATAATATTTTTTAATATTTTCTTAGCTAAATGCTTATTATATTTAATAGCAATTAAAGTATTTACTCTTTCTTAAATTATTAAGTAAAGTATTTTAAAAAATTTAATGCTTATTAA